AGTCTAAATGTAAACAGAACAAAGGCAGATTGTTTGCAGCAGATGCTAGCCCAGTCTCAGCCCAGCAAATTACATGTCAAAGTTAAGGTATTAAAGTGAAAAAAATAGTAAATTAGACTCTACTATAATGTCAGATTAACTTTGCTGGCTGTCCTGCACTGTGGTCCAACATTCTGTTTTCCCCCTATGAAACCTTTAATCTAGAAATAAAATGAATCAGATGTGATCATTTTAGATTCATGAACACTGAGGATGATTTATTCAAAGAACCTCACAGGCTTAATGTAAATAAAATTAATTAGAAAAATGATTGAATGCTCGAATTGAGCATTCTGCTGATAAAATAATGGACCTCGGAAATTCATCTGTCAACAAGTACAGCTGGAAATGCTGCTCGGCGTTGATGGATGCAGTGTTTAGTTTAAGATGACAATTCTAATGCAAAAAGAAGAAGAAATATGTCCTCATCGTACCCTATTCCTCTCTCATCTAATGACACATGCGTTTTAGGTCCTAGTACATGTTCATACTGTAGTACTGTTTAGACCAGGGGTGGGCAACTCCAGGCCTCGAGGGCCGGTGTCCCTGCAGGTTTTAGATGTGTCCTTGATCCAACACAGCTGATTTAAATGGCTAAATTAGCTCCTCAACATGTCCTGAAATTCTCCAGAGGCCTGGTAACGAACGAATCATTTGATTCAGGTGTGTTGACCCAAGGTGAGATTTAAAACCTGCAGGACACCGGCCTCGAGGCCTGGAATTGCCCACCCCTGGTTTAGACTGTGGTTTTAGATCACTGTTAGGTGATTGCTAGATCACACGATGATGTCATAACATGTGATATTGATAAGAACCTTCAGTGGGCTGTGATGAACCAGTGTGCCCAATTGTCTGATTCCTCAACTCCTGATCTTGTAGGAGGAGTTGGTGGACAAAAAAAGAAATTTTGTTCGCTACAGTAAGATTGCATGTTATTAGGAATGCTACTAACATCTGCTTTAAAAAAAAAAAGCAAGAGTGCTTGCTTACATGCTGGTCTAGTGCCTCTACGGGTCAGAAGCAGCAAGAGAAATTACACTTCCAGAAAACAAGTCAGTTTAACTGGTATAAAGAGTCCATTTTCAGTGAAGGAGGTAGTGGTTTAGACACATATCAAACAGATGATTTTCAGTTTGTATCCTGTGTTTGGCAATTACTATTTTACTTCTTCTGTTTTGCATCTGTGGCTGTTTGCACTACGTTAGGGCAAGAATGTGGCTTAGGTTATAGTAAATCTGAAAATTATTGGAAAACAACAGTAGTTTATTTAGTATTAGTATTTAGTATTTAGTATTTTAGCTTAAAATTTCTATTAAAGAGCCCGCATATACGTTGCAAAAATGATTTTCGTAATTATCAACACTGGTAATTTATGAAAGCTGTAGGGTGGAGCCTTTAATTTGATGTAATAAATTTGAGGAACCCGTATATTTTATGTTAGAGATGTGTTTTGCTGCAGTGTATTGTCATTCAGTATCTGCTCATACCAGCACCTGC